AAAAAAAAAAAAAAAAAAGGACCAAAATGCTTGAGTGCTATTCAGCCGCCTACCCTAAGCCTACCTCAACCCCCATGTCCTCTATACTCAGTCTCTACCAGGCCTCACACCCCCAACTGCTAGGTAACAGAGTGGCACGACCCACTCCAGAATAATCCTCCACCTGTTTTTTTTTGTTTTTTTTTTGGCAAACTCTCGTCCCGTCAGTGTTAGTGGTGCTGGTAAGAGCAGACACCACTAGCACCAGGGGGAGGGGGTCCGTCTATTGGTGGGAAGCGTCACCTGCTGGAAAGCGGGTCCAGCGTCCCTTATACAGACTGTCAAAATGAAATACATCAGATCATAGTTTGAGAGGGTCCTGCCAGCAGGGCGAAGCGACTCACCCCGGCTCCGACCAACGTCGTCTGAGTACCAGCTTGCCAACAGACACTGGAGTGCCTTCCGCCCTCGACAACTCCTTATAAAACCTATCTACAAGCTTTACCTTATTTTGATCGATTAGATTATGTTTCTATGATGGCACAGGAGCATGCTTATTCTTTACCTGTAGAAAAACTTTGTAATTGTGAAGTACCATTACGAGCTCAATATATACGGCTGCAGGCAGTTGGGCACAGGTAACCGCCACAGGCCCTGGGCCTGATTCGTTTGGACTGAGGCTCAGCCTCTCGGGGCGTACCGGAAGCTTCTGGGCCGGGGCCCAGGGCAGCCAGGCCGCACGCAGCAGGCAGGCCACTTCCATTTAGGAAAGTGCCTGCCTCAGCATTGAGCATTTGGGAACTCCCTGTACGCTGCGCAAGCGCTGGTGCGCTAAACGCTGGCCAGCGCTCACGCGCTCACTGGCGAGCTGGATGAGCAGGCAGCCATAGCCGAGCTGCGCTGCACTATGCTGGATGGGGCGCATGGTGGTCCTTGGGTGCATGTGGCATCTGTATGTTGGGGATTGAGGTTGTGAGTGATACGAGAGACATACCTGGTGCTTGAGGCAAACGGCATTGGCCGAGATCTGCTCGTACTTCGGGGAGCTGTTGACGTCATCAGCGGCATTGTAGATAGGCTAGATAGGATCTGCCATTTGTAGTTTGGGCGCAGAAAGCTAGATAGGATGTCGACATTGGTTCTTTGTTGATGATGATGAGACTATTCCAACATTGTCACTTATGAGCTTTTGCTGTGCTCTTATTTGGTGGAACTCGTGTTGCAATTCTGCTTTTGGTTCGAGGTCACAACTATCTGGTTTCATGTGTATGATGCTGCTTGGTTTCTGGATTTCGCTATCGCTCATTTTCCTTGCATGCTGCCATCAGGCCCTAAGGGCTTAAGGGTTTAAGGGTTTAAGGGATTAAGGGTTTAAGGGTTTGAGAGCTAAAAGCCCTGACAATAGATGAAGCGACGGCCAACAGGTTTTAAGAGACTAACGGACTCACTACAGGACAGTCAGAGTCAGAAGCAGGGAGCATGAACTGGGTGAACTCGGTGATGGAAGACAAAAGTGTAGCTTGGATAAAGAGTTCCTGAGTGTATTGATTATTTCCCAGATCTGTATGGCCTGTGCAAAACCTCTATCCCAGCGGTGGTAAGAGAACCAGCGGGATTGAGGCTTTGTCTGGTGGGCCACTCCATCTATTGGTGGGGAGCCTCACCTGCTGGAAACCGGATCTACCGAAGAGAATAGATCTCTATGCTGTATAAGATGTGACTGAATATATTCGAGAGTGTGTATTTCTGTGGTATAGTCCTCCTACCTATGAGTCAGTTGTTTTAACAAGCAGGTCCCATGAGGCAAAGCATAACCAGTCCTGCAGCATGCAGCATGTCAGTGGCGGGGAGCGCAAGGGCAGGCCCTAACCTTAGAAAAAAAAAAAAAGGTAATGTTCTTTGAACTTCTTTCAAATACAAAGTTTTCTTTTTGGAATCCGAACAGAAAAGGTACATGTTGTATTCGAACACAACATCTACGCGGGCTATTCGAAGGGCTCTTCTATTCAACGAAAGTGAACCCACACCTTTTCGACTCAACTGAAGGACCGCGGGCTCCTTAACCTCCTACAGGCAGCTACCAGTCATCCGCAAGCAACAACTGCCCGCGCCCCATGAATTGGGCCCCCAGCAAATTCAAATTCACCACGCTTCCAGCTACTGTTTGGACCTGAATGCAGGACCGGTATAACGAAGGACGAAGAAATTGACTCAGGGGTATAAAACGCACCCCTGATGGGCTGCAAACTGGGGTGAACACACTTAGTCTAGTGAGTGTAAGATTATGGTGGGTGAAATTGTGGCTACGGGCGTGGGTGATTTTTTTTTATTTTTATTTTCAGATATCGAACTGAGCAGAGCAGTTTCTAGACTTGATCTTAGCCAAAAGGCGGAGAAATGTATTGGGTGAATATTTTATGGTGAATCATTTCACTGATGTCAGTGTATGTCATATTTCTGAATTTCTGAATTTCTGAATTTCTGCTTTTTTTTTTTTTTTTTTGAACCTTGCCTTCTTTCGCATGCATGCAGGTATTGATAATGGTGCTCGTAATCAAGCATACACAATGACTGTTAACACATGAAAGCATACACAATGACTGTGAACACATGACAATCGGAGCATGGTACACAACTGTGCACAAGATGGTACACGACTGTGCCCAAGTACAAAAACTCATTTCCTCCGGCGGGTATGGCACCCCGACCGGTTTCGACCGCCACCACGCAGTCTCCTCAGGGGGAATCCACCCTCGTCTCCCTATACTACACCGTCTTCCTCATTCCCACCTCCGTCTCCGTAGCTCCCACCATCTGGCAGAACACTTTGACGTCTGACCCGCAAAAAGACCCTCGAAAATGTCGTCACTGTACTTATACTGATCTCCCATCAATTCTATCATGTCGTTTCGGTACGGTACCTGTTCTGACCCACTCGTCGAAAAATACAGACCCTCCTTATTTTCAAAGTACCATCTGGTCAGCCCCAGTTATATCCACTGGTCCAATCGCCTCACTAGTCCGACCTGAATTGTGGGGTACTGTGAACTACACATTAATAATTCAAATTGCACAGCCCTATCCCGCCTCACTGGTCCAATCGCATGCAAGTTCATGCATGCTTTTTTTTTTTTTTTTTAATTCTATCTGATTGTTTAAAATCTGGATTGGTTCAATATGTACAATCTCATTCATAAAAAAAAAAGAGGATCTGGGAAGCTGTTGGAATTCCATTAAAATTTTGAAATCTCTGATCTGTTTTGCTTTTCAATTTGTTTTTTTTTGGGCAAGTTCCAAAAATAGCACGTCGCGGTAGTTTCACAGCCAAAATGTTGGTGGGGCCCAAGTTTCATTGCAAAAATATATCTTTCGTTGCAGCTTTAGAGCTCCCGGTACTTTCACAGCAAGAACAATATTTGCAGGCGGGGTCCCACTTTTGGACACATACAACATTTCTGCTGCGAAACTTCGAAAACGCGCTATTTCTGCAATTACCCCTTCCCCCCCCGCACTCTTCCTGTTGATGTTATGGTAGTCATCCCCACGAAGCATGTTTATTTATTAAAAAAAAAGTAAAGAAAAAAGTCCGTATAGTGGTGTACTCACCATCAAGGAGAAGCCGATCATCTCCACAGGCATTACAGGCCAATCCTCCAGACGTGGTACATGGATAATTCCAAACACGTACCTGCCAAAACAACACACACACACACACACACACACACACACACACACACTTCAACCTCCTGATGAGTCGGTGAAAGTCCGACGAAACAGTCTCTCTGTCACAGTCTTACTTTTTTTGAGTGTATAGCGAATATGACCCCCCCCCCCC